CCCAATCCCCACCCCCAATTCCCACTCCCCCACCCCCAATTCCCCCCATCCCCGTTCCCAGTAACTCCCAATACCCCCCAGTTTCCCCCTCCCCACCTTCTGGGTGACCACGAGGAAGCGCAGGGCGCTGAAGGGGGGGTGTCCGTGCGGGGGTCCCTTGGCGGGCAGCGCGTGGGGCGACTCCAGCACCGTGCTGGGGTTCACCATCTTCTCCACCAGCATCAGCCACGCGTCCAGGAACTCGCCGGTGCCGTCGGGGAGGTCGGGGTGCTCCAGGCCCTCCCCCACCGGCACCTTGCCCCCCATGGACAGCGCCCAGTTAAAGGTCCTGGAAGGGGGAGAGGATTGGGGGTGTTGGGAGGGACCCCGGGGTGTGGGGAGTGAAGGGTTAAAGGGTCCGGGGGGATTTGGGGTGTGCGGAGTGAAGGGTTAAAGGGTCCGGGGGGATTTGGGGTGTGGGGAGTGAAGGGTTAAAGGGTCCGGGGGGATTTGGGGTGTGGGGAGTGAAGGGTTAAAGGCTCTGGGGGGATTTGGGGTCTGGGGGGATTTGGGGTGTGAGGAGGGACCCCAAGGTCAGGGGAGCATCCCCCCACCCACAGGAGGGGAGTTGGAGGTGGCAGTGTCCAGTCAGTGTCCGGTCAGTGTCCGGTCAGTGTCTGAGCAGTGTCCAGTCAGGGTCCAGTGTCCCTGTCCAGTGTCCAGGCTGTGTCCGTGTCCAGTGTCCAGTCTGGGTCCCTGTCCAGTGTCCAGGCTGTGTCCGTGTCCAGTGTCCAGTCTGGGTCCCTGTCCAGTGTCCAGGCTGTGTCCGTGTCCAGTGTCCAGTCTGGGTCCCTGTCCAGTGTCCAGGCTGTGTCCGTGTCCAGTGTCCAGTCTGGGTCCCTGTCCAGTGTCCAGGCTGTGTCCGTGTCCAGTGTCCAGTCTGGGTCCCTGTCCAGTGTCCAGGCTGTGTCCGTGTCCAGTGTCCAGTCTGGGTCCCTGTCCAGTGTCCAGGCTGTGTCCGTGTCCAGTGTCCAGTCTGGGTCCCTGTCCAGTGTCCAGGCTGTGTCCGTGTCCAGTGTCCAGTCTGGGTCCCTGTCCAGTGTCCAGGCTGTGTCCGTGTCCAGTGTCCAGTCTGGGTCCCTGTCCAGTGTCCAGGCTGTGTCCGTGTCCAGTGTCCAGTCTGGGTCCCTGTCCAGTGTCCAGGCTGTGTCCGTGTCCAGTGTCCAGTCTGGGTCCCTGTCCAGTGTCCAGGCTGTGTCCGTGTCCAGTGTCCAGTCTGGGTCCCTGTCCAGTGTCCAGGCTGTGTCCGTGTCCAGTGTCCAGTCTGGGTCCCTGTCCAGTGTCCAGGCTGTGTCCGTGTCCAGTGTCCAGTGTCCAGCTCACTCGAAGAGGGCGTTGTGGCCGCCGGAGCAGAGGAATTTCTGCAGCATGAGGTGATAGGGGAACTTGCGCTCGTCGAACAGCATGGGGGACGTGAATCCCACCGAGCAGATGAAGAACGTCAGCCTGGGGGGCACGGGGGGAGCTCAGCGCCCGCGGCACCGGCACCGGAACCGGGCACTGCCCACGGCACCGGAACCAGAACCGGGCACTGCCCACGGCACCAGAACCAGAACCGGGCACCGCCCACAC